AGGATTAATTCTCAAGCTCCAGTAAGTGACAATTTTCATTATAGTATGTTAACTTGCTTTGAGAAGATGCTTTACTTTTAATTAAAGTTCACCTCTTTCGTCTTGGAATGCATATATTTTGAGAGATTTGGAGACTTTAATCTCACCTTTTCTTTCAAAGATTATCTTTTGCGATTTTTGAACTGTGAATCTGAGTTTCGTACCATACCTTTCTGCATAAGTCTACTTAACTTACAAGCATTGACGTTTTCGTGCTCAGATAAGGCGCACAAGTTAGTAGCGCACTAACCTATGTGTTTGTTTATGAGGACATAATTTCAGCATTGATTTTCGGTAGTCATTATTTGTCTTTTATTTTCCCCTGAGTTTGGACTTATTACTTACCCATCATACGCTGGGAACTGGTCAAGTTCTTTTAATGCCAGTCCCCTTTAAAAGAACTCATGAACTTCCCGCGAGGGGTTAGAAGTTCAAGAAGCCTGATACTGCTGTGTGCGCACACGTACTAGTTTTAGTGTATCTACTGCAGAATATAGTCTTAAATCCCATCTTGCACCTGGTTGTGAAGAGCATTTCACATCCATTCTCTACTTTTGTTGATTTTTGCAATGTGCCCTGCTAGCACCAGCCCCGTCTGGCCCCGCCTAGCCCCCGGGGCCAGACGGGGCTGGGCTCCGTTTGGGCGGGGCTATGACGGGGCTACGACGACAAAAATTTAAATCAGTATTAATTAATTTGAAAGTATATCAGAAAGAAGTATCCCGTAATTAAATATATGTCTTAATGCAAAAATTAAAAATTGAATTTGCTGAGCATAAGAAAATTATGCCGACTGGTTGAATAATTAATGTTAAATAAAACTACTTTTAAATAGAGGTAAGTAAAAATTATACTGAAAGTCATAGCATAGTCGGCTACATAGAAAATATTAAGTTACTCACTGTGTCTTCCGATATTTTTTGCGAAAGGTCAAAGCTGCTCGCTGAATTTTCAAGGGAACCCTAATTCAATGTGTTGTAATAACTTGTTAGAAAAATATGTACCATATCAGCAGTTCGGCACCGTTTGGCTCGCCCTCCGTATCGGTCTCGGGTTCCGTGGAACCATTCAATGGCTGTTTGCCGAATTACTTCGGAATGGCAGCTACGGTACTGCTCATTACAGCGAATTGCATCTGCAGGTGTTAAAAAAAACATAATAAACAGACCACTTAGGACATACGACTGAAAACGCATTATACAAGTTAAAAAGCTTATATTTAACGATAATAAAGCTAAAACAGTCTAAAATAATGCAGAAAGACGTGATTAGAAAGGATGGAAATTTGGACGGGGCCTGGCCCCGTCTAGCTCCGTCTGGCCCCCGGGGCCATGTGTTGGCAGGGTGGGTTACTCTTCTAATATTTAATTAATTAACTTATCGTTCCCTTTATATTATTCCTCTTTGATAAACTGAAAGTAATATTATTTTCAGTTTAGATTGTCGGGCTATGTCTACATTTCTTGTCTCACCCTGGTTAAATTTTGTTGCATTTAACCTTTCCTGTTGCTCTTCTGATTTCTCCTGTTTGTCCCTTATTTATTCTGTACAAAGTATTATTTGACTATTTTAGGACCGATGATGCGAATCTAAGCGTCATAAACCTTTGTGGGCAATTGCCGCCTGCATACCTTGAGCTGCTTTTACCGGACGATGAACCGCTTATGTTGAGAGGCGGCATACCGGACCTAAACTACATTTCCTCTGATGAAAGCCGACCAAAACCCCGTGTCATGCTTACACCTGACTCTCAAATTGTTGGCTATTTAAGCTCGCAAAATTCAAAACCGGGCCCTACTTTTTTTGAACGTCAAGATTTTGATGATATTAGGGCGGACGATGTTGGCATTAGAGAATTGCCCCTGTCTGAGAATGACGTTTCAACTCAAACGGATATCATAGAAGGCGAAAATTCTTTGAAGCACCCTCACATTCATGGTAAATTAAGAAGACTACCTCCTTAATTCATTTTGTCAATCATTCGGTTCGATTTTTGTACGTGCAAATCTTTCGCAATCTTAGTATATTTGCTCTTACTGAAACTGGCAAATTAGCTTGCCTAAAATTATTGTTCTATATATTTTCGAGTCAAGCTATCTATGACAAGTTGTAAAATGTATTTAAAGAGTATAATAAATACTTAATCTTTTTTCAAGATGCATCTTTTCTGTAAGAAATTTTACAGCAGGCCTAAGGGAATACATATACCTTTTACAAGTTAGCACTTGCCGTTAGCTCTTTATAAACTTTGTTAAAACTCACAGACCCTGCTTTACCATATAAAATACATCGTAAACCATAACGCACTAATTGATTTCCCCATCATTAAATTACTTTATGGCACTTTGTACGTCTGGGCACTGCACTATAGTATGTACAGCATAACTAAATTAATACTATAGGTATTTGTTTCAAATTTTTGTCGTTCGAAATATCAAGAAAAATGCATTCTCGAAATTCTCAAACATAATAAAATCGTTTTAGCATCATTGTAAATAATTCTACCTCCGTTCCAAGTAAGCTAACGTTATTGCTGTCCTTTCTAATATACGCTTGTAGACATTTGAGTAAATTTGCAGATCAGTTACATGAGTACAGTTTTTACTGCTCTTCTAGATGATCAACAGTCCTGAAATTGTCACTGGAATATAGAAATTCGCAATGGCATTGTTATGCTGGTTCGTTAAAGTAATACATAATCAGGTGATTAAGTGGTTGGTATAATGAGGCATTGTTTAGTAACCTTAAAGGTCGTTTAACACTCTTGTCTAGTGAAATTTAGTCTGGGATTTAGCACAAAGTTGACATCGCATTGTGAAAAGTTGGCTTTATCTAAGGTAGCACCGGCCCTAAGGCTTAACAGATCTATAGAGCACTTGAGGTCATTGGTATTTTGATGTAATCTACGCTTTGAGTCCTACATTTTTAAGGAAATTAAATTCATTTACTTCGTTCGACGATCAAGCCCCTATCGATAAAGCCTCTTTATTGTCAGTACTAGTTGAATATTAAAGCATGATGGACTTTACACGAAGTCAAACACATTTGAGTGTACTCGTCCGTGTTTCGGAAAGAAGCTTTCAAGTCGGCCTAAGGGAAAGTGAAACGTTCTCAAGTGAATAAAAGACTGCGATAACTGACAGTTTAAAGACACATTTTTCAGTTCATTTATTGCTACAGTCTAAAGGATGGCTCAGAAAACGCAAGCAATAGAAAAATCTCGGCCACTCATAACTGATTCTATGGGCCTTTTCTGCTGATTCAATTAAGCGGAAATTTCTGCGAACCCGCCGGTCCAGTCTTTATGTTCTTCCACGAAAGTGTTCCTGAATTTATTTCAGCTGGAATTTATCCTCTTTTCGAAGAATTTAATCTCACGTACATTATGCCATTTTCTTTTTAGATGCATTGGGCTTTAAGTCGAGCTTAATTCGCTTAAATTAAAGTTGATTAACCTCTGATCATACAGCGCTTGCACATAGAACCCAGCGCACTCAGAATTGACGTCCCCACTAAAGTCATGCATTATCTTTCATGTCCAGATGTCCCTCGTTATGCCGTTTTTCTTGTAATGTCACAGTTCGTAGACGTTTGTTGTGACGACGAACTAAATCGTTTGCTCACGTGAGCATCTTATGCTCGACCGTCAATCCAGCGGCTGTTGTCTCGGACCCGCCCCTTCGGTCGGTCGATGACAAAACAGTCCTACTGCCTATCCATTCTGTGACATCAGAAAATTACATGCTTACTTTCCGCGTCTCACGCGTTAGGCACCGTCATCCCCTTCAGCGCCGGGCACTCGACCAATAAGAATGCGCCTACGCGCTCTCAATCTCCCCCTTCAGGACACGAAAATCTACTCAGCGTCTGCGCCTGCCTTGCTGAGGGCATGTGCATCTAAATTGCTTATCTGACACGTTCCACGCACCGTTAGAGCCGTCGGCTGGCGGCTGCTTACATAAATTTTTGCAGGCATATAAAGTGACATTTACGGATTTAGTATGATTCCAATAAGGAAATGGACTTTTTCGTTCCCGAACGAAATCCCGGGCCCGGATTAGGCTTATGGACGTAAAGTAAGCAGCAATCCAGTGAACTGTGTTTCGGCCGTCACTGGATGATAATGACCAGCAAGCCAGAAACAGCTACGCTAGTACTCCTTGCCACCTTTGATAACACTTCGGTAAATTAAATTTCGCGTGCCTTCCGTGCTTAAAATGGTATTGAGATTAGACAGGTTTGTAGAAAGTCGCTTTCATGCACATTTTAGATTTATAACAGCAACCTTTTTCAGATGGCTTACACATACAAAAGTAGTCTACTAATGGAGTTCTACATGACTTCCAATAGGAGCAGAAATGTAAGACTAGTTAGTTAGGATGTGTCGGTAGGACTTTGGAGGCCGAAAATCAGAATGTCGATTGGCGGTCTTTGTATAAATGCGTCTGTCACTCGACGTGCGCCTCAGGAAACTTGGCCAAAGTATGCCTTGACCCGTGGGTTTTGTGGCGAGAAAAAGTCGTTAGAAGTGATACTTCTGCCTTTCTACCCGACGATAGCCACCACCACCACCGCCGCCACCACCACCACCACCACCACCACCACCACCATCATCATCATCATTATCATCAGCAGCAGCAGCAACAGCACCAGCAGCAGCATCATCATCAGACTGAGCGCGTGTTTTGTGTGATCATGAATTACCTTGGTAGTGGTTACGTGCATGGGTTCCCTACAGAACTTCCCTTGCCTTGACATTGTGCCCTCGCCCGAGTTCGTTTCGTTCAGTAGACCAAATTTCATTGCTGGGCGTGCATTTCCATATCTCCTCTACATTTTCCTGCGTCCTTTCTATCCCCAGCCCTCAAACGACAAATTCAAAGAAAAACTATGGGTTCTAAACGCTTTAACCGCCAAAAGCTGGTTGAAATGGATAGTGAAGATCTAGAGAGGATTGTGAAGAACCTAGTCTGGCTCCGATTTGCAAAACCGTACGTATTTTGAGTTCTATGGTTAAGTTGTAGAATTTTGTCATTTCATTTCCACACAGACTTGAACACCTTGATACTTTTATCTGGAAGGGCCTTGCATCATACTTTAATTGTATACTTTTGCGTATTTTTACTGTGCGTTTGTGTCTGCCGCTCAATGTTTATGATCGGTTTTGTGATTGTAGAATTAACTACATTGAGGCGCAGGAGTTCCTTAATAAACTCTCGCAGGACGTCGACATGAAACCACCCGTGGCGTCATTTCAGTAAGTCCTTCGTCTCTCTTATCAGCCATCCCTACAGCTGCTAAGTAAATGCATAAAATAGTTTGGAGGGATTTCTGACCCTTTTCCCATCGTCTCTTAGCTAAATCCCTGATCCACATCGAAGATATCTGAAATTCGAACTTGGATCCACTTGGTCGTTGAATTAGGCGCTGTCGGCTGCTGTCAGGATATGCAAAGTTTCATGCAAGCTATACAACTTTTTAACTGGTAATGGTACTATCGACGCTGGTTTTGATTTAACCAGTTCTTCAGTATGCGGGCTTTAGCAGTACAAGAACTGCATGTTAGTCGCCGGTCTTAAGAAACAAGAACGGGCAAGGGAGGAGGCGTTATATAGGTGACCATTATAGTAACTATCTGATCTGCTTCACCATACCTGGCTGTAAAAAGGTCGGCGGCGTCAGTTGGACTCAGATCCAGTGCATCAAGAGTAAGGTTTGAACGTAACCAATGCTCTAAGCATCTGACCTGCGAGGTTCTGACCAAGGACCCTGGGCCTCGTAGACCAGGTGGTTAGAACGGCGGCTTTACTGAAGCCTTACGCTTGCTATCATTGGTTTGAATCGCACTGAAACAGCCGACTTTTTCATAATCAGACCTGATGAATCACCACAATCTGGGAAAAAGCGCCCTTATTAACTGGACTAGGTCACAATCATTTGGCCAAACAACTTTGCGAGAAGACCACAGGCTAAGTATGCATGTGAAATACGGCGCTGAATACATTTACTTCTCTTCCCTTGCCCTCAGTCTGATCAGTTTATTTCTCCCTTCCAGTTCGGTTGCTCACCACTAATCCACATGATTAACAGTCTTGTCTTCTTAGGATTTCTCTACTTCCTCTTTGCTTTTGGGAATTGATAAGCCATCAGTCATGGGATGGATTTATAATTGTGAATTATACCACGTGTTTGCGCTCGGACGCTCATATCATTCCAAGTTTGCTGAGTCGGAGTTCGACGTCTTTGTGAGCGCAGCGTTTGGCTTTTATCAAAAGCCCCTTAAATCAGCTCTTGGAAGGTGTGCTGGTTGCATTACTAAAAGACCCAGTTGTGTAGCCTGGACATGAATGCGAATTCTCATAATCGTGTTTCTGTTTACAGCTTCATATGTGAACTTACTGAATATCCTACAGCGACTTCATGCCGGCAGAGTTAACCAAGTACTGACCTGGTAAACTTGGACACTGTTGGGTGCTTTTGGTGCCTGAAGTAGGGTGCATTAAGAGGGGAACCGATGTCCGGCAAAACAAAGTAGATATGGTGTTCGTCATATCAAAGAGAAAGTCTCAATCGTTAACAATTTCAAGCGCATCATGTGGTCTACTGAATACGTGAAGAAACTGCCTCTTAACTGATGCATTCGTTCAACGTGCTTTTTATTGGTCGTTGTCCCCGTTAACTTTCTAAAGAATTCATTAAAGAGTGAGTTACGCTTGGCGCTGATGACATTGCAACCTAAATTTGTCTGAACGTCAGCACAGCTCGGTCTGGCTTAGAATATTTGAAAGGGAAATGGCGAATACATCGTCTTTTCGGCTTCATGGCTGTGCGTGGATGACGCCTTCGAGAACAGATTTTAGCCCTTTAATTTTCCACCAAAGTGGAAACTGAGGCAAGGCCTTTTAGTTATCTGTTGCGGCAGACTGCAGCCTTCCACTTCGGAGCTAAAACTGTGCTCATATCATGTGCTCTATCAGTATCAACTTCTTGCCCCCCCTTTCCCCTGTTCCACAGCTGACATTTCATGGGATGTGATGGTTTTTGCTGTTTAATTATATTTTGACTATCAGCCACTTGTGCATGAAAAAGTCCCGTCATCGGCTTTGTCCTCTTCTTTACACTTTAATGTGCTTGGTCCCTTTTATAGACTGGACCGATCTGGGAAGGTTCTTCAGTTTCACGTTCCCTTCCAAGCCGGCCTAACTGCTGACGATGTGATTGGTTCATTGTGTAAGTCCTTATACCTAGACATTGACCCGAAAGAAAGACTGATCCTCTCAGGTCTCTAGAATGTTCTTCACATCGCCCGCGCACCAGACCTAATCAGAAACTACGGTCAAGGGACTTAGATTCGATTGTACGAAGGAATTATAAAGAAATAGAGCTAGCATGTTTAGGGCATTATGAGGCGCCATTGATTTGAATTTCTCAATGGGAAACTCCATATGATCTTCCAGTAGACATTTAAAGTAGTCACTGCGAAAACTTGAGAGCCGCAACTACTGCAGGTTTCTGTTCCATTTATGTCCATTTGTACTTGTGTCTGATCTGTGAGGTACAAGGTGTGAAATGGGTTACCGAGCCACAAAGATTTTTCAGGTGTACTTAAATGCATTCTGGCATTCCTGGTACATGGTTTAGAAGCCAAAGAGTACAAACACATATTACTTAGTGATGTTCTTTAAAATTGATGAAGGAAACTCTCAAGGATGAGTTCTTTTGAAGAATACACCTATTATGTCATCTATAAGGGTTTGGATAAGTTGCGGACGTAGGGCGTTTGCTATGGAAGTCGCTTTGACCCGAAAACAGCAAATGCTGCAGGTTTCTGATCCATTACTGTCCTTCATTGTTTTGTTTCTGTGTCTGCTCTGTGGTGCTTAAGGTGTGGAACGTGTACTTTTGCGTAGGTATAAAACTGCCATAGGAACGTTTCGGATTTAGTTCAGTGCAATCTAGCATTCTTGGCACATGGTTTAGTAGCCTAAAGATTCAAACGCGAATTACTCACAGATGCTTTGTACATCTGATGAGGGAAACTCTTCACAATGAGCTTTTCTGAAAAATACGCCTACTCTGTCATCCATGAGGGGTTACGTATGCTACAAACGTTGGGCGCTTGCTATGAAAATCGCTTTGACATAAACTGTCTTCTTTACATTAAAGCTTCCAACAGCGACTGGTTTCGATTGAATGGAATCCTGGATATCGGTAAAGGAATACCAGTAAGTTTCTAATTTTAATCAGTGTACGACACTTCATGATTTTGTCCGAAACTACTGGACGAACATAGATAAAGTCCTCGGTACGGACCCTTTTGGGATCGACTCCAATTTTTGCACAAAAATTTCACTTGAATACAATCGACTTCAGTGAACTGATTGCATATTGCTCACAGCACATGCTCCTTTCACCTTGTCCCCGAGCCCCTACCTAGAGCCGTCGTAGACATTCACACAGCAGCAGGTAATGTTTCCGAAGGAAGACTGACCTGACCTGGCGACTAAAATACCCATATATACCCCAACCCTAGGTCTCTACGTTCCCGTCTAGTCTTCATCGGTATTCCTCCTGCTCGTTTTTCCTTATCGCTGAACGATCGCCTGTTGATGCGCTAGGTGGAGATCTAAGGAGAGGAAAGGGGAAAATCACATTTCTTCCAGAAATCTGATCGGTGGGGCGTAACTTCCATATGAATGTAATTCTCGACCGCATCGGACAGAACCTCTAGCCCGTTATTCACCGATGAAACGTCTGAACTAATGCCCAACAACCAAAAATTTGGGGTTTAGACCCCAAGTTCCCCAGGTTGAGGACTAGGGCATGACAGGCTGACTACGACTCGTAAGCCAGAAATTGTTATTTCCGGTGTTTATCATGGGGGTGATTACAGGTAATGAGGGTAGACTGGTACAGAACTATTTCCAGCCTATACTGTCTTTATTCAGTCAATCATTACCCTGACTACTGTCTTGATCCAAAAACACAAACATGCGCACGCACATGGCGCAGATGGTCCATCATCGGGGTCTACCAGATGAACCATAAACCCTTAATTAAACTGAAGATTATCGCTCCCTCGCCACCTGGTATTCTCTGTCGTTGCAGATCGGATATAGTTATACACAGGACTTCAAACGGTTCCGTAGCAATAGAAGCGAAGAGACGAGTCCCAGGAAACAGTCTTGAAGAAGGAGACACGATCACTGGGACAAGAGCTTTATTAGCCTGACATCTTCCAACACCACAAACCGAAGTTCCACGCCCAGTATGTGGATGATACCTTCGTCGTTATCGACCTGTATCAACTGCTGACATTCAAGGAGCATCTGAATGCGGTCTTCCCGGACATGCAATTTACGATGGAGGAGGAAGAGAACAACCAAGCTGGCTTTCCTGGATGTTTTCGTATGCCGCAAAGATTGTGGTGGTCTAAAGACCAAAGTGTGCAGGAAAGCGACAAATACAATGCAAGAACTGAACTTCAACAGCAACCACCCAATCAGCCGCAAACGCAGTTGTGTAAGGACGCTCTCTCAGCGCGCTGAAACGCACTGCAGTGAGCCGGAAGACAAAATTGCCGAACTACAATAGTTCCGACGCGTCTTCAAAGCCAATGGTTACCCGCGAAATTTCATCAACCGGTGCGTATGCAAAAGAGACGAAAGGCCTAACGGCACGAACACCAAATTTTGGCGAGCGCTTCCGTAGTCAAGAACTTTTCGGAAGCTGTCGGCCGCCTTCTCGCACCACTTGGGGTTTGGGTTGCACACAGACCGGAGGCAACAATCAGGCGTCAGTTAATGCAACCGAAAGACGCGCTGCCGCGGCTGGAAACGTCTGGAGTCGTTTATCGGATCTGATGCAGTTGCGGACAAAGCAACTACATCGGAGAAACCGGAAGACAGCTCCGAACGAGAATGGCCGAACGCGCTGCAGCGGTGTGGAGAAATGACGCCAGCTCTCAAGTTGCGGCTCATTCGACGAGATCCGGCCACACATTCAAGTTTGACGAGGCCGAAATTCTCGCGAGAGGGGATAATCGCGTGAGCCGGGAGCTACTTGAGTCATGGTTTACTGGCCCCCAGTCCATTTACAAGTGCAATGACCTTCCCCTTTCATGCTCGGTGCTGAGGTTTTGCCTAGGCGGAGTAATCAGCCAAGCGGAGAGCGCACAGGTGAACACTATTTCTAACCCCAGGGTCAGTGCGTCAAATGGTTGAGCAATTACCACACCAACATCCAACGCACGTGATGAAATTGCATCAATTAACGACGCGAATGTCGGCCATCAAATTGCCAGCACACCAAGTGCAGCGATCCCGGAGGAAGGGGGGAGGGGAGGAGGGGGAGGGGCGCGAATATTCATAGGTATGTCTTAGCATGACGACTGCATTCTATAAATACTGCAGCCACTTGTGCATGAACTACCCGTATCTGCTTTTGTCTCTGATGATGACTTCGAGCAGGAATCCGAAACGTCAGGCTAATAAAGCTCTTGTCCCAGCGATCGTGTCTCCTTCCTCAACGTTCTGTATCAGTCTAACCCCACTCTCTTTCTTCATCCCCTCTGTTATCAAAACTTGGCTGAGTATGGCCTAGCAGTCGGTCGACTGTTCGTGACCTCTGCCGCACATCCGGAGCTTGTTTGCTTGTGGAAGACAGTGAGTCGGTTGGCGCTCCTTCCTGTGTGAATATGGATATGTGTCGCTTTAATGGGCCCTGCACAGGAAATTGGCTCCGTTATCCGGTAGTAGGGTCGCCATCTGCAATCACCAGTCAGGTCGCAAAGGAAATGTTTATTCAAGCATATGGAATGAGTCGACAAAGGCAGTAAATTCCAGATCAGCGTGGGTTCGGGTTTATTTAACGTCCTTATCAACTATCAGTGCTACCTATCAGGCAAGAAAACTTAGTTAGTTTCACTTCAGCTGCGTCAGAAGAATGTTAAAGGTGAATTGGAAAATAAAAATCGCCAACACTTCATTGCTGGAATAGATGAGTCTGCTCAACTCCGGTGACATATTGAATGGTGTTCATTTATGGTGGGGTAGCCATGTCGCGAGGGTGGTCGACGAACACCTACTAAAATGACTGTTCCTCCTTGACGTCTCAGCAGGTGCTGAAAGACAAGGTAGACTAACTCGGCAATATAAGAACACTACCCTAAAGGCCTCTCTTATGCTCTTTCACATCACCCAAGAGACTTTGGTGGGCCCTTTGCCAATTAGGTAAACCAGTTGCATTAATATGAATACCCGCACAGCAATCTTCGAGGTCAACCAAATACGATGGACCAAGATGATGCGCAGGACACAAGAAGGCAATCCGCAGGCCAACAGCGCTAAAACCCAACGCCCATTAACACGTCCGATTTACCAACTGATATCTGGCAGATGGGATGGTCTTATTGGCTACCCTCGGATTCGCATCAAAGTCAATACGCCACCTCACATAACACCATCATAATTATAATCGTTGAAGATACGCCTCTCAGCAGTTCCTGTCTACCCTGGCCGGACATCGTCGTAGTCGTCGCAACGGGAATGCCGATAGGACAGAAAGGACGCCCACCACCAGCGGTTTGGACACACTGCCAACTCGTCCTCATTTCGATCACGCGATTCAGTCAGACATCGGCCCTGTAGATAGTCCGCGACCTTATGGTAGTGCGGTCGGCGAGCCACTGCTAGGAGTCGCGAGTGACACCCTCCATGTCCGCCTTACATGCTGCCTGGACTGTCCCAGGACTTTCAAACACAACATGGACATAGTTGGCCATGTACGCATGCACGATAATGATCAGTTATACGGCATAGTCCGGGCGTTCCTTACATAACCTCACTCTACACGGACACAAGATCATCAGTGGACGAAACATGGTTCTTTTTACGATCACATACATACACGTCAAGGATCGGCTAAACAACAGACATCGGCCATCGTTATGACGGACAAGAGTTTTATGAAAATGTGTGCATTTACATTCCTGCCTTTTAGTGAAGTCTGACCACCTGGAGTCAGGGACCGACACATGTGTTTAACAAGCATAGGCAGGGATTTCCACGTCTTTTCGGCTATTACGCCTTATCTATTGGATTGTTGACCTACAGGCTCGGACTCTCTATTGGAGAGTAGGGAAATAAGGAGACAGCGAGGAAGATCCAGAAGAATTGGCGAATTGGCGTATTGGCGTATTCCTCAGTAGACTATATCTGGTGCGTTTCATTCCATCTTGACCCACTGAACGTTGTGACTTGGAGCGTTGCCAGCTGGCATGGTTACACGGCCCTCATTTAGAACGGGTGTTCAGGCACATTTGCTCCTAAATGTGGTCTCTAATGCATCTTTCACTCCCGTGAGGTCCGGATCCGCTTGTGACATGCGTTGGACAGCGACTGCTCGTGACGACATTTACTGCTACCAATCTCGCCCCAGTTGCCTTGCTTCAGACCGGTCACCGGCGAACTGAAAGTGGGCATGATACAACTGCAATACAGCATTCTAGTGTTTTTCACTATGAGCGCCCAAGTGGGATATGGACATATCGCGACGTGCTGAAAGTTGCAGCCTTTAAGGCTGCTTATTGATATGGTAACTTGGTCCTCCCTTGAGAAAGGGTTCAGTAACACCTTCTTACCCCAACTATCATGGAACCACTCTCTGGCGTGCGCTCTGAGACTCGGCCGTTGCAACCTCGTGCTTGACCCGCATAGACGGAATGTTTGACTTTGCTAATCCCTGTGCTCATACCCGCCTCCGATCTTTATGACCAAATCTTTTAATCGGAACACGGACGGCGTGGGAATAGTGGTGTGAACTAGACGGGGCGTGAGTCTGCTTCATTTTAGGTAGATTTCTACGTGGTGCATATCTGCCCCCACCTCTTAGTATGCTGTGGTCTTCATCGATGGCGATGGGAAGACTGTTATTTGCATTGGAATTGGCACGTTACTTGTCGGGTTGTGGGAGGGAAAGTGCTTGTTCCGTCTTGACCTGAAATTCCATTATAGAGCTCTAGCAGACAACTTCAGGGTAACTGGCTTACCGAAGAAGACATGAGAGACGCGTGTGAACTTCTGGCGTAATTACCGTCATCACCCGGCCACACCTCAACTCCTGGCCGGCCAGACCTGAGATTTGAACGCAGGTCAATTGAGACACCCAGCCTTTGGGTCGAATGCTATCCTCCTTTGAGTCGCGTCGTCAGGTCCTGTTAGCTGATTTGGCGCTATTCAGATTTGTGGGAAAATAGCCCCTCATCTAGTAAGGTTGCATAGGGAACATGTGTATTTTTACGGTCTGCCATCTCATACACTTTACTTTAGCGATAAATCTTTTCCCTTTCCTTCCTCCCCTACGCGATGTAGATCCTCACTGAAGCAAGTGGCGTACCACAACAACCATACAAATCCGGTGAGTTTACGGACTCCGAGCCCGAGGACCGCATACTCAGGCCCCAGCCACGAAGCCGAATTTCCAGGGCCAGTTTCGTGGCCATCATAATATTCTGCACGATCGCCGTGATCACCGCCTTCCTACTCTTTGTGCAATACATGGTACGATCGGGCCGTTGTTTGCCCCGCAAGGGCTCCGGCGAATCGATTCTCACCAAGGGGCAGTACGCTGAAGATGACACGGAGAAAATGATGCCCAATCTCTCCTCCGAGTCGCCCGGCTCCCCACCACCCTATCACGACAGTTATGTGAGCGAGAAGCCTCAGGAGACGAAAGCAGTGAAGGCAAGTCGGCTACTTTGTTGGTACACGCTCAATCACTTTTTCTGTGAGACCTGCGTGTGCGCGCAGTCTCTACTCGGCGTGCGCCTACAGTAGATGTGCTAACTCGTGAAATGTTAACCGGAATTCTGAAATGCGTTTTCAGCTCAAAAAGATTACGGAGGTAGGGTTGTAATATTAATCGCCGTGCAACACAATCCCATGATAACTCACTTACGTCATGATGCCGGTTTTTAGACGAACCTCTTTCCGGTCGCCTGCAAAAACTACATTCTGTAAAAAATGGCTGCTTAAGTAGCGGGGACTTCTCTTAAATATTTTCGCTGTCCTTATAAATTCAAATATATTTTATAGAAAGCACGCAGAAAAATATCCATTCTTTTACTCTCTTTATAGAAAAATGCGTCTTATTCGAATTCGGTACTTGAAAAAAGTGTGAAAATCAGTTTCACCAAAGTTTCTTATTATAAGATTTTTCAAGATTGTGAAATGCCCGTTCATAAAGCATCGTGTCTCTGCATTGACTAATCTTGTTTGAAAAGTTTGAAATATGGCTCAAATCCACTGCTAACTTATATGAACGCCATAAAGTCCCCTCTTAATACTGTATAGAAATTTAGGATTTTTCGTATATGAAAAATATGGTTTGTAGTTTGGAAATCCTGGATGCAAGTGTAACGGCAGGTTCAAAATTATTGGGGATTTGGGAAAGTTTTTAAAACCAAATTGTACACTTTCTTCGAATATAAAATTTGAAGAAGGCGTAATTTTCTACCGAATGAGTAAATGAATGCATATTTTTATTCATGTTTGCTATGGAATATGCTTGAATTTATAAGGACCTCGAAAATCGATGAGAGAAATGCTTGCTAATTAAGTAGTCAGTCTTTGCAGAAAATTGTTTTTGTACGCGACCGAAAAGAGATTCGTTCAAAAGCCGGCACCCTGACGTAAGTGAGTTATCATGGGATTATGCTGCAAGGTGATTAATATTACAACCCTACATTAGCAGTCTTTTCGAGTCGCAACGCATTTCAGCATTACGGTTTACATTTTCTGAGTAAGCACATCTACTGTACTTCGCATTTCGAAACGTGCCTCTTTTGGACTACAACTTTTAGTTAATGTTCGGTTGGAGTGGGGGAAGATTCAGTGGGCAAAGAATATTTACATAAGGACCGGAATACGCAAATGAACATTTAGGTGAATGGAGGACTCTGTATTCGGTGTTTATAATTAGACCCGTAACTCCGAACTTATTTGGCATGACAAAGAATATGTTTACCTGACCTGGATCATACAATCTAGACTGCTAAATCTTATCACTCTGTCTTTTGCTGACAACAGGCACACCCGAGAACACCGCTTCCAAGAGGAAATTTTATGAAACAGTGCGCAATTCCCTTGTCTGCATATTGATATTTTGAGATGCACTAGTCCCCTACCTTTGAGCGGCAGTCAGCACAGGCACCGGTGGCTGTCCGGTTTGATCAAAGTTGATTGGATTGAAAACGACATAGCTGCGAAAATTCCCTGCGTTTGCTTGCATACGGCGAAGTCATTTGCGAAAAGGGTTTTTAGCCCACGCAAATCCGGGTGTGGCTATAGTCCGGCAACTTGAATCGCATATTTCTTCCCTTCCAGGCCGGAACTTGTGTAGGCGGAAGAGCTTTTTCACCGCCTATGTCAATAAACCACTGGATTTTGCCCTAGGTGTATTGAGGCTGTGTTGGCAAGAGTGTTATCCACCAGTAAAAATCCCGGTAGTGTTTTTCTGCGTCACCTATCGCGGAATTCTTGATGTCAGATCTTCACGCTCTGAATTTAAACTGCCCTCAGCGACATTTTGGAGGGGATTTCTTGTATGCAGGACAATGAAATAGAAGAATCTCCCTCTCGTAATACAGGTGGTATGACGCCAACCGCCTGGAAGGGTACCTATTCCCGCGTCCTAGCCCTGGCACCACCCCGTACCCTAACCTCAACCCTAATCGTAGTCCTACACCTGATCTTAACACCATGCTTAACCCTAACCTTAAAATTAACAATAATTTCGCTGGAATTCGGCGCACAGATGCATGTATCGCGGGCCGTTCTCATAAAACCTCCTTAGACTGAAAGATCCAACCAGCTTATTTGCTGCAAAGAGGTAAGGCACGTACTACGCTCATCTCCCGTACTCGTTTGGTGTATCAGCAGATGCTCTGTCTGCTTTCGGGAACGTTCCCTTTTCTTCTCGTACGACTTTTTGTCTTTAAAAATCCTTTTTTTCACGAGCCTTGACGCTTTTCTTAGCACGTTTTACGGAAATAAATGGCATACCCCTCATATCGGGCATGAAATGACTCCAAGATTCGGGTCCAGGCAAATCATCTTCTGCAGTTAGTTCATATTGGCCTAGAAGGACTCAGTGCTATTTAAATAACAGGGATTTTACCAGCTTTATATTCTTGGAGCTTCGTTATGAGTTCTTATCGACGATCACCAGCACAATTGGCCGAATTTACCCAAAATACTTTCGCTGTAGGCAGGCCTCAACAGCCGTTTCCATAACACTATTCAAACTCACAAACTAATTTAACCCTCTTCGATGCCTCTAGTAACGCACCAGGCAGCCAGAAAGTAACCTGACGGTCACTAAACAAGCAGGTCTTCCTCCACGAGGATTGTCTTTACAGGGCGAATTAACGTCCGGAACTTCAGTATCCCCAAGTTTAATCTTGATAGCATTTGTTTCACTCGCATGAGGAGGACCGGTGCTCATAGTTTTACTCATTTTAGCTACAGAAAACGTCCCAAATGATACTTTTTAAGCGACAAAACGTTATTTCTCCCACTTTCGCCATCTGTTGCATTGGGACTGGCGGCACTTTCGTCGACTATCTTAATGTTAAGCTTTCGTGATTTTTTACTCCAAATATAGCCGACAGTGTACTTTAGGAAAGTGCTACTGTCTACTCCAGGCGGGGAAAGTCCGGAAGTAAAATTACCTCTGGACTTTTTTCCAGGTAAAAAAAATGCAGAAAGGGTCACTTCTACTGAATTTTTTAACGAGCATATAAAAGTGACAAGGTTATTGTGTCTATCGTCGTCATCAAACTATGTCCACGCTGCATTCAGGACAGTTTGACTTATCTGATGCGGCGTTTTGTCAGCTTTTAATAAATTGCGAGTAAGACTAACATTGCAAGTTTTAAAAAAGTATCTAAGGTGGATTTTGAATGTCTGACTGTGCTCCTTTTATCAAGCTAACGGATGTCCACCGGTGAAAGTACTCAGTCACCCAAAAGCAGCCGGCTTGTCCTGACACTTAGATTGCGTTCTGTGGTATGACATTTCGACCGTTGTTGCCGACGATATCCACCGTATGATCCATAGCAAGGTGAGAACAGGCACGGGGACTTGTGCGTGAAATAGTTTACAGTGAGAGTATACTCGCGCAGCATCTACCGCACTCTCTCCTCCCTCTCCGTCACCGGGGCTCAGTGTCACGACATAGTCAAGAAGACCGAAGGCGGGAGAGACGCAGGCGGCTGGCACGGCCGAACCCGCACCTAGGTTTGATACCACACTCCCTAGTCTACCATAAAAAATTAACCAGGATTCTAATCAAAAACCTAACAGGATTCTAACCAACATATGAGGATGACAGAAGTCACTGAGCAACCATGCACACGGCCTGTATACCCAGCGGGTGCGCAAATGTATCCACCGGCAGGGAATCAGGTGCCAGAGAACCGCCAGTTCACGCCAAGCTGCGAGGGCCATGGGTTGCTGAAACGGGACATGGTATACGCACACAGTCGCTAAAGCCCATAGGGGTGAGACGCAGCTCTTCATTTAGCCTAGACAATCATCGACTGAGAGGCAATACCCATAAACACACACACACACTCCTTTCCTACGTGAGAGCGCCGGAGGTTACATTAAGAAGGAACAGTTTCAGCGTGACACAGCCCACCAGTCCGCCGCTCCACACAACCACACACAACTGGGCAAACTGCATGGACTGAGTCGAGGCGTCCGTCAGCAATCTTCCAAGCCACAGCACTTGGGGCACCGTGATAGTCTCAGGCTTTGATCACACATGCATCAGTGGAACCGAAAAGCCCACTTCCCACTACGTAAGAGGTGTCAATTGCGTGTTTATGTTGTGTGATGATGGATTATGTTGATGTGTTTTACCGGTGCTGGTTGGTGGAGGTGTTTTGGTGTGTTACAGCCCAAAGAAACTAACTACTGCATAAACTGCTGACTTAGAGCATTTGGAAATCGGGAAATCGTCTCGCAGTGATACGTCAACTTTTCACCAAATACGCTCAGGGTTGCCGTCGACGTTTTCACGAAACTATTTGATGGCGCTGCCGTACACTGGCTCATTTTATCAGATTATATCGATGGAAAGTCTACCTAGCCTATTAGTGAAATATTTTGCCGTCTTCGGTGAAACAAAGCTTCATGTACTTTACTCCTTGATTATCATTATTGTAAAGCCTAATTAGGCGTTTTGCTTCTGTCCTTCCATTATCTGACGTTCTTAAAAAGCTGGAGCCCCTGGTACGATGTTGCTAAGATTGAAACAGAAATAAAATGAGAAAATTCTGTTATTTTGCGGGACCTGCACGTCCCGTTGTGTCTTAAACCTCAATGGAGAGCTCTAGCTGACAGCCGCACAGGGACCAGGATTATATGCCAAAAGGAGATCTGGAAGTGGCAAGAGAAACTGGGGGTGGTCATTTCTGGCTTATTAGTCGTCACTAGCCAGTCTTACTTAGGACCGGTGAACACAAGAACGACATATTCCCGATCCTGATTGGCAGAATGAGTTTGCAGCTGAATGACTAGAGCGTTGGGTGTACCAATGCTCAATCATCAAGAGAACCCGGATGAGAACGCAGACGAACCCAAAATCTGTGTTTGAGTAAGGCTGGCTGATGACAGCTAATAGGGCAGAAATGCTCAGCCCAGCCTCACTTGTCTTTATCGGGTCTACTTTCAGTATTCTAACTGTGTACTGCGGTAGACATTTATATTCGACTTATCTCTATCTTCCTTACCGGCGAACACGGTGGGTGAGGAAAAGAAGATGGGCTGCA